TTCACGTTTTCTTTCACACAAGTACAATGAAATAGTATCTTAAACAATGTAATTGCCTTGAATCTGTGGGTTTTAAATACTTTTTCTATCTTTAAAAAAAAATTCAAAAGTTTACATATAGTAAGAAAATTTCATTTAATTTTCTTGAAAACATGTTATTATTTGTATATTTTTTGCCACTCTTCGTTACCTTCTACAACTTTCTATTTTAGATATTGTTTTTTCTAAAATTCTCCATTTTCCAATGATATATTATACGTATCCCTTCTGACCGGAATTTCCGGAGATTCATTTTCAACCTGGATAAGCATTTTTATTTTTTTCTCCTTTATTTAATTATCAAATTCTTCCAAAAGTTATATTTAACATTTTTCATAACTCCTAACAATGATAAATAGTTATTATTTATAATAAACCAAATTGAATATACTTTAGAGGAAGATATGATAATGTTGTCATTTCACTAAGGGAAAATTCATCAAATTATACACTAATTTAATTTTCTATAAAGTTAGATGACAATTTTTCGGAATAAACTTTGATACCTAATTATTTAAATATAATATCAGATCCATCACTAAGTAAGCTACAGTAAATGTATTTAAGGTTTCATAACCATACATATGCTTTATACATCCATGAAATGATTTTATATTTTGCTTCTTCTTTCACACAAGTACAATGAAATATTTTTTTAGCAATACTATTGCCTTGATTAGGTGGATTTTAAATACTTTCTACAAACATAAAAATATTTTTTTAATTTTTCTAAAATTCTCCACTTTCCAACTATATATTATTAGTATACCTTCTGACTTGTATTTCCGGAGATTCATTTTCAACCTGTATAAGCATTTTTATTTTTTTCTCTTTTATTCAATTATCAAATTCTTTCAAAAGTTATATTTAGCATTTTTTGGTAACTTTTAATAATGAGAGATAGTTATGATTCATCAATATTTATCACCCACGATATGTAGAACAGCCGACTAACTTCCTTCAATAATCTACAAAATTAATAAATATAATCTACTATAAATATTATCTATAATAAATATATTAACAGTCTATTAAAATTCACAATAAATACTAACTAACTATAAATAATCTATCAAAATAATTATAAATAACTAAAATGAACAGTAACAACATGGGTATGCTATATGTAATGCCAATATAATAATAAGTAGTAGGATGCTTTAAATATAAATATAATAAAATAACTGTAGAGACAATCAATATTTAATATCCTATAGTCATAATATTTATAGAGTGAAGTTTCTACAGAACAATTAGCAATTTAAATGTTAAAATTCAAGAAAGGAAGGGATGCCGCTAGGCACTCCTCCATAACGCCAAGCCACTACCTGTACTCTTACCGACAACTGTCATTGCCGATAATTGCCATTGCTTATGACAGGTGTGGGTGAAGAAATGGAGTTAAATTTAATCATAACTTTTAATTTTACCATAATATATCAACTATGGGGTGGGAAAAAAGTATTTATAATTGCTATTATAAGTTAAAGTGACATTAAAATTATAATTTTTAATTATAACATTTTTTTAAGGTATTATATAAATTTATTAGTGAAAATAATGAACAAATAGAACTCAACTGAGAAATGTTTCTGTTTCTGTTGAAAGAAGCTATTTAAATTAAACAGTTTCTGTAGCTATTTCAGAAAACTGTTTAAATTAAACAGCTTCTGTAGCTGTTTCAGAAAACAGTTTAAATTAAACAGATTCAGTGTTTTCTTCTTTCCCTGTCAGGATTGCTGTCTCTACCTACTAATCTGAAAAGTGAGTTATCTTGGGTAGGTTCACTCAGCACTCAGTTCATCGATGGCTTCGTTTTGCTCTGTTTAGAGATCTATTCGATGGCATCGATGAGCTCAGCGCTGATTTTAACAACAACTTACCCCCTCCTAATGACATCTATTTAATGAAAGAAACTATTTAAATTAAACAGATTGCTACTAAATACCCCACCACTAATCGGTAAATGTGTTACCTGCTCATGGGGATTTATCCTAATAAAGGTGAATTCTTCTATTGGCTTCTATTTCTCATAGCACAGTGTTAACACGGGGGAAACTCTGAGTTGGCTTCTGTTGCCTCATCTCAGTGTATCCACCGGTGATGGTTTGCAGCTCCAATACTCTAATATATAGGCCTCCCTCACAGTATACGTAATAGAAACTCAACTTTTTTGGAGGGGGAGTCCATCGCTCTCACCCCTCTCCTTCTCAACCAGAATGGAAAGTCTTTATGGCCTCAAACTCATGACTATTCTATTCTTAGTTATAAGTAATATTTTCCTCAAATAATATAATATTTGATATAGAGTATTACTATATTTTTCGCTTAAAAATGCTAATAAGCGAAGAGAACCCTATAATACTATTTTGTCTCCAAAAAACACATCTCAAAGAAACACAAACAGTGAGATGCAAAGATTACGATATATACCGAAAAGACAGAATTAGAACCTCAAAGTCATGGGGAGGAGTCAGAACTTTTGTTAGAAATGACATATTTGCTGAAGTGCTCCCTCTTAACACAAACTTCAAAGCAATAGCTGTCAAAATTTACCAAATGAGCCACTTACTGTCTGTAACATTTACATGCCACCATAGGAACCATTTACTATACATAATATTCAGCAAATTGTTAATCAGCTACCCAGACCCTATCTTTTATTAGGTGACTTTAATGCCAATGATATAGCTTGGCGTTCAACACTAATTGGCAATGGGCACAGAGGTAGAAAATTAAAAGAACTTTTAGAGAACAGCCCTACAATCACCCTCCTAAACACGGGAGAAAATACTCATTTTTGCTCCAAAAGCAATAATTTTTCATCAATCGACCTTAGCTTCAGCGATGTTCGACGTTATAAAGAGTGGACAAGACATTACAAATGACCCTGACGAAATCGTTGAAAAATTGGAGAACACTTTTATTAAGTATCCTCTAATATTACTCAAACCCCTATAAGCTGTAGAGATGTACCAAATCATGTGAACTTAGACTACAAAGAAAACTACAACATCCCCATCGGGATACATGAACTCGAATTTTTTCTACAGGAATGCTCAAAGAAATCCGCTGTAGGTAGTGACGGAATCTCATATGTAATGCTTTATAATCTACCTGACGAAGGAAAACAAATACTATTGCAATTGTACAACCGAATTTGGGATACTGGCTATCTACCACAAACATGGAGGCACTCCCTGATAGTGCCTATACCAAAAAAAAAAAGTTGTCTTATAACAGACTTCCGCCCAATATCACTTCTCTTATGTGTGAGCAAACTATAAGAAAAAATAGTAAATCAGAGAATTACTGAAGTAATAAAAAAGAGAGAGCTTCTCACTCTGTACCGATTTGATTTGTAAATAACATGTTAAAGTCCAAACATGGCGTCATTCTCCAGCTGCTGCTACCTGACAGGACCTTTTTCCTTCTTCATCGATTGTTTATCGATATGAGACTTTTCAATGAACAGTTTGTCCTCTGCACAATTGAGTACAATTCACAGTGCAACCTCACATTCCTATATATTATATATTCCTTCTCATTCCCTCACCCAATGTCACATAAAGGAGTAAATACCGGGAGATGTCTACTACAGGTTTTAGGGAAGATCACACCTCAATTAACTCCCCTCCAAACACTGAAATGGGAAGCCAACAAGCATTTCAAAAGAAGCAACACCTCAAAGCTGGTGAACCTCCTTTAACCTTCAGAAGGTTATTCATGACAACGAAGTATGGTCTTAAAATCAAGACTAACCCAAGACATATACTAAATAAGGTATTATTCTGTAATAAGGAAACAGGTAATATGAGGGAGAAAAACTTTATAGAAACACTTCTTGATCATTTTTCGGATCTAAACATTGAAAATGCTCTGGATGTGGCGGATATGATAATTCCCCCATGGATCAATGTCAAACCAACTATAGATACCTCAATTGCCAGACATAAAAAGAATATGGCACTTCTAGTTGAAGTTCAAAAATTATTTTTAGAAAATTTGGAAAAATATAAGGAGTGCCACATCTTGTATATAGATGCCTCAAAAGTAGATAAGGAAGTAGGATGTTCCATTATAAATTCTAATACTCAAAAACTATTCAAAATTCTGGAGGCTTGTTCAGTGTTTACTGGTGAAATGATAGCAATTAGTGAAGCTCTTAAACACATAGAGACAAGCGAAACTACAAATTGGGCAGTGGTGACAGACTCTATGAGTTCATTACTAGCCATTGAACATACCAGGCCCAAAACCACTCTCGCAAAAGATGTAAGAAATGTTTGGTGACTACTAAGGGAGAAGGGCAAAGAAGTAGTGTTCATTTGGGTCCCTTCGCATTGCGGGATCACCGGTAATGAACAAGCTAATCAAGCAGCCAACATGGCAGGAAAGCCAGATACAACATCCGGGGAATGAAATCCCTCTAGAGGATTACGTTAAAAATATTGAGGAGAATGGGTGGAACATGTGGCAAAACAAGTGGGAACAAAAAGAATTGAAATTAAAACCCACTGTTTAAAATAGGAAACCTCTCATTGATCCTCTTGAAAAGAGGAGACAGCCCTCTGCAGATTACAAATTGAACATTGTGAGTTCCCGCACTCCCAACTAGTCCAATTAGAGGACTTGATCCTACTACCTGCGAGAGCTGCAATGTCCAAAGGACAGTAAAGCATATTATTCAAGACTGCCCTATATTTGAACCTACAAGGAAAAAATTAGACTTGGCACAGAGTCTAAAAAAAATCTACAAGACAGTGAAAGTGCAGTTAAAAAAACTTTAAGGTTTTTAAAACAATGCAACAGAGTGTAATTTAAAGGTATTGCCAATGACCCTACAGGGTAGAGGCAACAAAACATCAAATAAATAAATAAAATATATTATTACTAATTTGGCATGCTATTATTATTTTAAATTTTCAAGTTGTATTGTTATAAGATTTATAATTTTGCAGAAATGTCTCCAAGTTTACTTTAGACCAGAATACTATAAAAGTGATAAAAAAAGAAGTGGGAGCTTTAGAAAAGGTCTTTATGAAAAAACTCCACCGAATATTGACGTTGGAATAAAAATTGAAAACTTGTACAAAAAGTATGGAAATCTTACATCAGTAAAAAACTTGTCGTTAAATATATATTCGGGACAAATTACTGCTCTTCTTGGCCACAATGGAGCTGGAAAAACTACCACTCTTTCCATTTTGTCAGGTAAATTAGTCTTTGTATTTCTTTGGTTTAAGGGAAAAACAGTCAAATAATTTTTATAAGAATGAAATTTATTATTAAATCGGTTAAAATAGGTTTACATTAATATATAGAAATAAAAAAGAAATCTTACAATGAAAATTAAATAACTTGAAATAAGTACTACCATTGTTATGAACTAGTGTGGTGTTTTAATAGTACATATTTTATCATTATGAATATTTAGTATTTCATAATATTTCAGTTATTATTGATCTTATCAAGATGTTATATAACAGAAATTATTGCAAAAAATGATCAAAACAGTTTGGGCAAAATGTTATATTGAATTATTTTGAGATATTTATTTAAATATGGCACAATTAAATTCATCTTTCCTTGTTATCCCTCTATGAACCGATAGGAGATGCAAGCTCCCTTTCCCTTGAGGCAAAGGCAAATCTTAGACGCATTATACTTATTCACATATTATATTACCATTTTGTGTCAATGATGAATGTATATATATATTTTTTAGTTATAAAGTATGGAAAAAATGTAAACATTAAATAATATATATATATATTTTTTTACATGGGCCAACTAATTTAAATTTATTTTATTTTGTATATTTAAATTTCAGGTATGTTGTCACCTACTTCAGGATCAGCTTTCTATCAAGGTTATGATATCTTCACAAATTTAAGAAAATTTCGGAAAGATATTGGACTATGCCCTCAAAATAATTTACTCCATCCAAACCTTAAAGTTATCAATCAGCTGATATTTTATGGAATGGTAAGATATCGAAGTAATGCATTAATTACTTAAAATACATGTTGCCTTATATAATCAGTTTTTTTCACAGAACTAGATTTTATTAAGGAAAAGATTATTGGTGATTTGATCAGAATAGAAACTCACGGTAGAGTATAATACTGCTGTGGAAACCCATCTGTGGAATCAGTCAGTGTATAAATAACAGAATTAGAGAGATTTATGGTGCTGAAGCTAAAAAATACTAGTGCTTAAAAAAAAGAAGAGTGACTGTAGATTGTTCCTGGAAGGAATCTGTCCGAAAAGAAGCAACCTACTAATTAATTGGAGCAGGGGCTCACTTAAGGAAATGATAGCAGTATATACTGGACACTGCAAACTGAACCATCATATGTTCAACCTCCGGCTAACGGAGTCGACTCTTTGTAGGTACTGTGGCCAAGAGGATGAAACAGCTTATCATACCACTTGTTGGTGCGACAGCATTGCTGGACTGAGATTCCGACTATTCGGTATTGATAGGGTGATTGATCGCAAGGAAAACAAGCTCCTCAACCCAAGCTTACTACTGTTCATTGCGGCTGCAGAAATTACGCTCTATAAATAAAAGGAGTGACTTTACCAGATGCATACAATAGGCCTTCACGGCCGCGATGTATTTATGCCACTTGAAAAAAAAAATAATAATACTGCTATTATGAGCACCTAATTTTCAGCCTAAGTTGCTGGCCTCCACCAAGACTTAAAAAAAACAAGATTGGACATCAATAGAAAAATCACTGTAAAATGGATTATAAGTGAGAATATTAAACCATAAAAAAAAATATTTCTAGAAATGTATTAGGGCTGTCTAGGTATTGAAAAACAATAGAAGATGAAAAATCAATAACGAGCTAAAGTATATAAAAAAATTAAGTAGGCAACTTTGTACTTATGAGTTAGCCGATCACCACGGACTGCTATTCTTTTATTTAAAATAGCGAGGAATCCTCTTCCCTTCAGTCTCAAATGTTCACATAAATATGAATCCATGTGTTGCCTCGCAGTTCCTCTATGTTTTTTATTTCTCCACTTAACCCATAAATGTTCTATGTGTTGAGTATGGAACCCACTTGAAGAATCGACAAACCTATACTGCTGATTCTAGTTACAACTTGGAAATGCTTGTAGTTTGCTTCATGTAGTTGTTGGGTGTTGTATCCTTTCCAACAGTCAGAATATGTAGAGGCCCCTTCTTCTATATTATGTTTAATACGTTCTAATGGAGTTGTTGCTTTTCTGTCTTTTATTTCTACAATGAAACACTTATCTGTTTCTGGACGGGCACCCCCAAACATCCATTGTTCAGGCAGCACCCTCCCTGCACGATTTTTTCTTTTATAAAAAAGTCGCCAGTAAACTTTTTTTCATCACAAGTGATAAAATCTTCCTGTAAAATCTCATATCAGAAGGGTTTTTTAAATAAATTTTCACTAATTTCTGACCCCTTAGGTGATTGCTGAGGGACCAGTCTTGCTCTTTTCCGTCTTCCCAATGGAGAGTAGATGGTGACTAACAGTATCTTTTGACACCATACTCCCTGGCAAGTTTGCGAGTACTTGTGGACGGATTCGACTCAATAGCTTCCTGCAGAACCTCATCAATATCCATTAATGGACCTGGAGCCCTTCTTCCTTTCCAACATCATATCTTCACTGCTAAATATTTCAAACCAGCGCAGTCAAATGCAGTGCGCTGGTCAAGAACATCTTTCTCTTCATATTTAATAATTTCATGAGTTGCTTCAGCGGCTGTTAATTTTTTTTAGTAATGCCTTAAAATTATGAAAATTTCGTTGGACACTGTCATGTTTCTTCTTTGAAACAAATAACTAAACCGAAGCTTTTTTTTTGAAGAAGTTGAATCGGATTAAACAAGCTTAGAGAATACTCTAAAGAAATTATTAAGTATTGGTAAGTATTAAATAAGATTAAAATATTTACAGTCCTTTGAAATCTTGAATTTAATAAAACAGTAAAAAATTTTATACACTTGATTGGCATTGCCAACAGCCTAAAAAAATAGACTACATCATATAACTAGATACAATCAATATTAACTAACGTGCACGATGAGGATCTGAGTTAGAGCCTGAGAGGGTTTAAATCTGTAGTAGATAGCCTCTAGTATTAACTGATTTATATTCAATTATGCAGTGGACAAGTTGTTTATGGAAAAGTATCAAATTGATAAACAATCGATGAAAGAGGACGCTAGTAGGGCAAAGAAAGGAAGAAGTCTCAAAAGGGACGATAGATGGCAGCAGCTGAAGATGGACGCTGGGAGAAGAAAGAAGAACTCACTCTAGGCCGGGACAGGAAGAAAGGAGGTTACCACTTCTGGTATGGAATATATATAGGCGTGGCATTGCACTGAAGATTAAGAAGATAAAGTCTACAGTTATAAGACTTTTATAGATTCATTTATTACAGTTGTCAAAATAAATTGTTTTATTATACAGGAGTGAAAAGTCCTTTTATTTAGTTGTCCTATAGGCCTCACAATTGAAGAATGACAAACAAGGTGAGCCAGTTCATTCAAAGTATATTTACTCAGTCCCATATTTCATATATATATTCTTATTATTTCTTGTCACTCTATCACAAAAGCATTAGGTTCCTGAATTCCAAACGGCAGTTAAACACCCTCAAAAAGTCTATATCCAATTTTGTTTTAAGAAAATTAAATTCACGAGTGTAAATAATCTAGTCCGCCGACAAAGTGGAAGGAATATTTACAATTGGTCCCTGAAACAGGTCATTTACAATTAACTCTTGATAGGTTATTTACAACTTGTCCTGTTTCAGGCTGAAGCTCCCCCCAAAATGGTAAAATATAACCATGTTTTATGAAAAAAAAAATTTCTAAAAGTATTATTGTTCCTCTAATTATATTTAATAGAACTTAAAGAAAATTAAACACCATATCATACAGGTACTTAGTTTCTTTCTTCCGATTTAATTATCGTAATATATACATAAAAAAAAAAATCTTCGGGCTGAAGCCCCCCAAATCCTGGATGCGTTAGTTGCTTGAAGCAGAGTGCACTTGGTGCCCTCAACCTGTTATTTCAAAATTGTTAAATCCCGATATTAAACGTATGCCGAATTCCGGTTAATCGTATCAACAATACTTTTGCACTGGTATGTAACCAAAATAAATTTTATGGAGAATAATTTTAATGTCTATAAATCAATTTAAAAGTAGGGTAACTTTAGTCAAAAATGAATAAGGATTAAGTAATAATTATTTTACATATAGCTATCTTAAAATAATTATTGTATTACGTTACATTCCTGTGAGAAAAAAAATAAATCATAGAATTAAAATAAATCAAAAATTTTAGTTGTGAATTTGCTGATATTGTGTTAATCCATATTTAAACATTTTAAATTTATATAATTTAATAAAGGAAAACATATATTCTGTAACTATTAATTGTTAACTTTATAATTATAAAAAAAAATTATAAAATCATTTCAACTGTACCTATTATTATATCTTATTCATGCTATAAATAATATGGACCATTTTTGTTTTTATTAGACATTAAGTTATTTAATTGAAAGAGAAATCAATGACTGAAAACAAGAATTAAATTAACTTACTGAGTAATATGAATCTTAGCTTATAAACTTGAAAGTTTTTAAATTAGATTCAAAATAAATTCTAACATTCAAATAAAATCTGTTTTTATGTCAAACTTTTAAATAATTAAATGGTCCTAAACAATACAGAACAAACTTACTGTTTAACTCTAATTGTTTTAAAGTTTTCAAAACAGTTATTTTTCCTCATTTATTAAACTGATTAAATCCCTTTTTAAAAATTACAGGAATGTCCCCCTTTGTGTTCCTATGTCCCTCTTTATTGTGTTTCTATTTAGTTTTGTTGATTTGATTATAATTATAACTTGTGTCCATTTTTTCTGACATATTGAAAACATCAATAAGGAAAGATTAATAATATGAAATATATTATAAATAATAGCTCATTATAAAGAGGATGAAATGCTGAACATTTGCCTCGCTTACAGTATGTAGGTCCGATTTTTAGTTTCTGAGGTGTTTTGGTATTATTCATCAGTATTATTCAGTCTGAGGTATTATTCATCAGTCTGGCCAGAGACGGCGTACAGTTCACATCACTCCCGTGAAACTCAGTCATTTTTTACACAAACCAATCTATTTCATAAAATTTTCTACAGTGATTTCTCATAATAGTATTTTTGTTTCTAATCCACCATAGTTGCGTATTATATTTATTAACGAATCATTAATACATAGAATAATATTAATACATAGAAGAAAGTTCATGAAATATCTGCAGCAGAGAGAAGAGAAGTAGCCAATTCCCTTAAGCCGGAGAGGATTAAAGGCCATCAATACACCTTAGTGATAAACAACACTTTCCTTGCGTAAGTAAATATTTTTTTCACTTTCAACAAAATGGTGCAATGCTCAACTTGTGACGGCCCTATTGTGAGAGACGATAAATATAATATAAGCTGTAATAAATGCCAAGTAATATTTCACGGCAAATGTTGCAATTACAGTGAAAAGGAGATTGAAGTTATAAAATTGCAAAAAAAACCATGGCTATGTAAAAAGTGTGAGCAGGGTAAAAAGGCTGACCCACCTAGTAATAAGTTAGCCAGTCCATCCAAGAGCGACACCAGAGAACCCTCCTCATCGCATATTCTAGCCGTCAACAAGCTCGGTGAACAGGTCAATGAGGATATTAAAAATTTAAGAACTTCACTTGAGAAGTATGGTGAGCTCAGTTTCGAGTTGAAGGAGAGGTTCACAAAAATAGAAGGACATCTTGAAACCCAAGCGAAACACCTAGAAGAACTCACCTCAGAAAATAAGATGCTGAAAACCAGAGTAGGCGAACTTGAGGTGCGTGTTAACAAAGCCGAGCAAGGTCTACTTCGTAGATCAATAGAAATTCGTGGCATCCCGGTACGCCCGTGAGAGACTCCATCGGCCTTGGTAGCCAGCGTGGGAGCCGGCCTCGGGATTAAGATCAACGCAGAGGACCTCGACTTTGTGGAGCGATGGAGACCAAGAAAAGATGATCCCCGACCACCACCCGTGATTGCTCGTTTTGTGAGGCAGTCTGTACGCGACGACTTGGTGCAAAGAAGAAAGGTAAAAAGGTACTTTTCTACCAGGGATATTGGTTGGCAAGAAAACGACTCCCACCGGATATATCTCGGTGAAGAAATGTCTCCTATGAATAGACGTCTGTACTGGCTTGCCCGTCAGAAAAGAGCAGCAGGCAAACTAAATTTTTTATGGTTTGCGGGGGGCAGAGTTCGTTGTAGAAAAGAAGATGGACACCCAGTAATTTACATAGATCAGCCACAAGATCTTGACATTTTCTGCTGACGGTTTGACATTCGTCAACTTGATGGTCATAACTCGGAAATGTTAAGCGTTGCCTACTATAAATCACTCTGCCGTATTATGGTTCTGTTTTGACATTATTTTTTCTCTAGCACAACTGACGTAATCTTTTATTTACTCATGTTTAGTTGTTTTTTTTATCATTGCTGCTTATTATTATTATTATTATCAGTTGTACTTAACCATTATTTGCTTCTCTTTAAATGTTATTCATTATATTTCAGCTGCCTTTCATCATATTTCTCTATTTCCTATCCAACATGTCTAGTATCCTGACCTCTTGTCATGTTAATTCCCAATCCTTTTCGACGAATTTCAGCAATATTTTACCTGTAATTTTTACCATACTATTGCAGTTTCCAAAACATGGCTAAAACCCCACATCCCTTCCTCTTCGGTTTCCTTACCCGATCACACCTTTATCCGCCACGACCGGGTTACAAGAACGGGTGGTGGTGTGGGTCTTTACGTCCATAATAGCCTAAAATCCCGAATTCTAGATATCTCACTCCCTTCCAATTGTCCCCACATGGAATATCTTTTTGTTGAAATTTCCTTCAAAGCCCATCTTCTCCTATACGTTGTAGTTTATCGCCCTCCTCTGGTACCTTTCGACCCATCCTTTGAATCTACCCTATACAAATTTATCCCTTTTTACAGTAACATAATAGTTTCCGGTGACTTTAACGCCAACCTCCTTTCCGATTCCCACGACAAACACTACCTGGAAAACCTTTTCTACTCCCTTAACCTCTTCGTAGTACCATTTGCTCCTACTCATCACACTTGCTGGTCTGATATATGGCTGGACCTGTTTATCATCGATTCTGCGCAGAATCTTTTGTCCTCGTCCCAGCTACCTGTTCCCTTCCTCTCTTCACATGACCTCATCCAACTATCGTACAATATCCAGACCCCTGGGATCCTTCCTAAAACAATAACCTTCCCCAATATAAATTCCCTAACCCGTGAAAGCATCTTACCCGATATCGAAACCCTGAATTGGAATGATGTTTACACCAGCTCCTCAATTGACACCATGGTAGATATCCTGACTTCTAATCTCCTCCATATCATCAATACCCATGCCCCACTTAAAACCTCTACATTCCGCCGCCAGCGTGCTCCTTGGATGTGTCAAGAAATTCGAAATATGCAAAAGAGACGTGAGGCAGCCTGTAGACGCTTTAGAAGAACCAGGCTTGCAGATGACTACGAAGCGTTCAGGGTACTCCGTAACTTGACACAAACAACGATCAAGCTGGTGAAAACCAATTACTATCATGAAGCCTTCTCCGCAGCTCCCGATTCCAAATCCAAATGGAATTTACTCCGAAAGCTGTCTCTTTGCAAATCATCTTCTTCCACAGCTGTCCCAGTCTCTCCTGATGCTTTAAATTCCTACTTTTTATCCTCCTCCTCTAGTAATATTTCTCCCGCCTCTTCCCATATATCTGTATCATCTGCATTTGATAGTGACAATTTTTATTTTTCCTACATCACTCCTACGAACCTTATTTCCTCCATAATGAAATCCCAATCCGACTCTATAGGAATTGACGGAATACCCGTCAAACTGTTAAAATTATGCCTCCCTGAAATCCTTCCAGTTCTATTCATTTATAACTTTTCCCTTCAAAATTCTGTTTTCCCTACATCTTGGAAAAAAGCCTTAGTCCGTCCTATTAACAAAATCCCTAACCCCACATCTCCTAAAGACTATCGTCAAATTTCCATCCTCTCAAATCTGTCAAAACCCCTCGAAAGAATTGTCCAATCCCAAATTTCCAATTTTCTCGAAGAGTTCAAACTTTTAGATCCTCTCCAATCTGGCTTTCGCCCGGACTTCTCCACTCAATCCGCTTTAGCCAAAATCACAAACGACATACATACTGCAATTGACGAAAAAAAACTGACTGTATTGGTACTCCTGGACTTCTCCAAAGCATTCGATTCCTTAGACCATTCTATCCTCTACACTAAATTAAAATCATTATCCTTCTCCAATAGCTCTATCCTATGGTTCCAGTCCTTCCTTTCTGACAGGACTCAAGCTGTTAGTATTCCCCCTTATCTTCTTTCCTCACTTTGTCTCATGGAGTAGCCCAGGGTTCAAGCATTTCTCCTATCCTTTTTAATTCTTACATCAATGACCTTCCTAGTTCAATCCACCATTGTTCATACCATCTATATGCTGATGACTCCCAAATTTATCTTTCCTTTCCGCCCACTGAGTTATTAGAAGCGTTTATGAATATTCAGAAAGACCTAGATAGGATCAGTGCCTGGGCAAGCTTGAATAATTTAAACTTAAATGCATCAAAAAATCAGGCAATTCTTATAGGTTCCAACTCCCTCCTTAGATCCATCTCCACCCTTCCTTCCTTGATTATTAATGACCAACCAATCTCCTTCTCCCCCTCTGTAAAAAACTTAGGAATTACCATTGATCAAAACCTATCATGGAAACCCCATATTGCTCATATCTCCGGAAGGTCAATTGGTACACTTAAACTATTTCATCGTTCTCGTCAGCATCTCCCACAACCTATCCGCAAGCTCCTCGTTTCCTCATTGATTTTCCCCTTCTTTGACTATGGCTGTGTGGTATATGGTGGCCTCTCGTTGGAGCTTGAGGACAGACTGAAGAGAATCATGAACTGTTTTTTAAGATTTGTCTTCGACACTTCGAGATGGTCTCATGTGTCCCACCTATATGCCGAGTCAAAGTGGCTCTTCCCGCCGCCTATACTTCCTTGGAAATTTCTTATATCAAACGATCAACTCCCAGCACCCTTCCTATATCTACTGTCTCCTCAAGCCGAAACCTTTAGTCCACTCAATAAAAACGAGATCCCGTGATTCTGACCTCTATATTCCATCACACAAGACAAAAACCTATGAACGTTCCTTCTTAGCCCGCTCCGTCACCTATTGGAATTCTTTGCCACATAACATCCGTCATGCCTCTTCACTGTCAACCTTCAAATATCTCCTTTTCCAATATCTCCTCACATCCCAAACAGACGATTCGCAACCATAAATTTCATTTCATGAACTGAATTTGTGAGAAGTAAATGGTGATGCCAACAGTTTAAGTTTTAACATAAAACAGCAATGATTTTTTACTATTATTTTTACTATTTATTTGTATTCTCTTCACCTCAGGTTGTGCTTTTTCTTTCATGTATATATGTTTATATTTTATACTTTTTGTCTCACCGTGTAGCAATATGAGTAAGTACGTATATATAGTTCCTTTTTACTTTTATACCACAATTATTCCTGAGATTTTATTTTATCTTAGTGTTTGCTTATTATTTTATGAATCACTGTAAATATTATTACATTTTGTATTAAATTATGTTTCTATTAGGTAGCCTATTATTTATAAATTGTGCAGTTATGTATATATAGACATGTAATTTCTTTTGTCTTTTTTTTTTTTTTTTTTATCGTAATAATAAGTAAATTTGGAGAATATTGTATGTTCATTTATATATGTATGTAAGTATATATATGTGTATGGGTTTTTTTTTGTTTATTTCTTAGTGGTTACATACTACTTTTTAAATAATGTATATTATGTTAGAATTTTTTAAGTTAGTTTTTGGCCAGATTGGTATTTTATTTTGTATTAATTCATCTTTGTTATTCTAAGGGGACTTAGTCCCAGAATAAAGTTCTATTTTCTATTCTATTCTATTCTATTTTAATCCAAGTTTTCCCATAATTTTCCATTAAACTCGTTATTTATTTTTGAGACTATTGTTTCTCTTTTTGCCTCTCTAACACGGTGCCGCGTTAAGATTCAATGTTGAATAATAGTTTATTATAAAGAGGATGAAATGATAAACATTTCCCTCACTAACAGTATGCAGTTGCGATTTTTAGATATTTCAATCCACAAAAACACTTGAATAAGTCGACACCAGCCGACTTTACTTGAGCGTTACACATCATAGATATGACAGCTCATTCTAATTCACTCTCCCCTAAAAAAACTGCGAAACGCGCCTAAAGAAGTTTTTACTTCAAATAATATAGACGGAATTAAAAAAATATATTGGTATAGTAGTTAAAAAATAATCAAGGATAAATAAAAAAATTAGAATTCACTTACAAACTAGTCATAAGAACTCCAACATGTGAAGTACCCTTGAATTTAGAGAGCCTTCTTAATCCAATTGCCTTACAGTTTTTTTAATAAAATTTCAGAACTTTCCTGAGGTGATCCTCTCACTTCTGACCTATTCAACATTGTCCTAAATGATCTCAATTTCATAATACCATCTTTTCCGTGAACTGTCTTATATTTTAACTGCTTTATAATTGGGTGGATAAAATATTTTGTTGATTTTTATTTTTTTAAAATTTATAAATACCAATAACTGACAAGCAATTACTTAATTCTTTTAATTAATGATATTTTTGTTGTATATTACTGCAGATTTGTTTGTATTTTACTTACTTTGTGTGTACTTACAGCTTGGCGGATTGTCCATGAAAGAAGCAGAAGAAAGTGCCAATGAGCTTTTGAAAGTTGTGGGAATATTTGAAAAAAAATATGTTCAAGTAACTGAATTGTCTGGTGGTATGCAACGGAAATTATGCATTGCCCTCTCCCTTGTTGGAAAACCAAAGGTAATTAATTGTATTTACGATTTAATTAAAAGATTATTATATATATTCAATTATTTATTCTCATGAAATATTTAAAAGGAATAATGATTATTTATTTTAATTTATTTCACATGATTTATAAAATCATTCCACAATTAATTATTTAAAATAGCTTTTATTTATTTCTATGGAATTTGAGGAGTTAATTGATAGAACTTTAAATTCCTTCCAGAAGGTTACTTTAGTACTGTCTGCTAGTAAGGTTCAACTGATTCATCAATCCAAGCTTATCAATCAAGCTTACTACAGTTCACTGAGAATGCAGAAACTATGCTCTGAATAGGAGTGACTTTAATAGAGGCGTACAATAGGCATCCAAGCCGCTCAAAAAAAAAAAAAAAAATTCACCTGCACTACAGTATAAAGCTTATTTTTTTTATTAGTAGGATAGTCGATATTTCAACTAGAAACTTTAGAAAATTTTGAGTTGACGCAAAATAAAAAATAAATAAATAAAATTATCCTCCTAAAACTCACTCTATGAATATCAAAGCCAGTGTTTTTATAACGTCACATTTTTATTAAATATTTATAACCAGTGGAGAAGCTAATCAGCCATAATTTCGCCATTATGACTAGTTATAAAACAAGCCATAACTTCGCAATCAGTAAAACTGAGACAGCATGTTTTTCTTTTATATCTTAATTTGACTGACCAAATTCAAATAATGCTTGAAGTATGGCAGAATTTATAGACAATTTTCTGAACATAAAAACATATGATACTCTAGTTTCTGTTGAAAGATGTTTGTTATGGTCTAATGGGTGCTAGATGGAATATCATTACAAGGATAAAAATCATTAATATTGCTAGTATGGATGTAATATATTTAGATTCGTCAAAAAACATAGGTGCTGTTGGGAAAAGGGTTATTTCAAAATCGAAAATACAAACCTTTCCCCGGTGAGTTTCCTCAAAGGTGGGAAAAATTCACATAAAATTAAATGATGGGGGAGAAGGGGAAAAAAATGAGTGAGCATAAGACCTGTAAAACAAAGTTGAAACGCATGCATATCAAATAATAAAGAAATAAAAATATTCAAGAAATAAATAATGAAAAATAAAGAATTCCCCTTTTGAACATTTACAATTTATTGAATAAAAAAAAACGATATAAATTTATACAAAAGTTGAAATAAACAATGGTGAAAAGTTTCAAGAAAAAAAAATAAAACATAAACTTAATAACCAGAGAAAATAAAAACAAATTAACCATTAATAACAAAATATAAATAAATCAACTTCTAAAATTATAGATAAAACAAGAGAAAAAATAACTATCCAAAAAGAATAAAACTAATTTACATGGAAAACAAAAATTAAATTAATGTTTAAATGTCTTGGTGATGGTGAGAATAAAAAAAAAAAAATCCAAGTTGGAGGCTTTGCTTCCAACGAGGTTACCTTGGTGTTCAACTAATGTCAAAGGCAGTCAATGGTGGGGGAATCGATATGTATATCAATCTTGATCGATCATTGCCGATGCCGATGCATAGCTGTTGTCCGAAAATGGCACTAGGCTGGCTCCAGGTGAAGTGAGCTGAGCCTGGAGCTGGTGAAATGGTGGGGGGTAGACGTCCACTACATGGATCCAGTGTCAACAAAGGCTTGCTCCAGACTGGCCCTAGACCGCATCCCATCAGTTTTATCACAGTATTTTGGTTGTCTTAATACCTAAACTCAGTATTACTGCCGGGCTGGAGTGTATACAAATGCGATAAACATCGCGAAATACATAATATTTAAATAATATATATTTCAGAGACAATTGCCCCTGAAATACATAATATATATTTCAGAGACAATTGTCCCTCGGCCTTTCACAAAAATAAATAAATAAACATTTTATTATCAACATTTAAAAAAGGGATAAAAGGGTGAGAAAAAATAATAATAAAAAAATAATGTTATAAGTGTATGCGGCGTTAACAGGTGTATAATTGCAGAAATCGTTTAATCTCTGCCATTAAAGCTGATACTTAAGTCAAACGGAACAGGAACTGACCTGCCTTGGGAACATGGTCACAGGATTTAGTCTCACGTTGAAGATTATGGTTTTAAGGAGTAGAGAAAGGAGGCATAGGGCTGCGATTGTGGTTAATAACTCAAATCTTGACATGATCTATCTGAGACAGTATTATATGGCAGATATTTTGGCATTTTATGTCAAGTTGGATAGCAATTTTTTTACATCAATTTCGGCATACCTATCTAACGCAACGTACATAGAAGCCATATCTGTCATATAGATGATCACAGCTCATACTAGAAATGTAATAATTTGCTCAAATACCAATTCCTGGAACACAGTTCGGGGTTCAATCAGAACTATGAAGAGATGCTGAGCTTAATGAGATTATTACTAGGAGCCAGCTAATTGTAAACAATATCCCTGCCCCCCTATGTTCTCTGGAGGTATGGTTGCGAAACTGGATTGATGTCATGCTAGCTTCGCTGACACTTTTGGGCATATTGTTGATTCATGACCAGAAAGTCCTGGTATTCAGCATGGTCCAGGATTTAGAACGTTCACACAGTATTGAGAGAGGTTATATAATCCTCAGAAATGACTGGATGCATACTAGAGAGAAAAATTGCTGATGATGATTTAGAAGCGGTGGAATTTGAGATTGCAGATGACCTGGACTACAGAGTATCCCTGGTCACCAATGCCGCTGAAAACTTCTTCCAATATCTGAAATAAAGGGCTCGACCAGTTCCATGGAGGACACCAGCCTTGATAACAATGAAGAGAGTTTTACAAACCCTGGCGACTGTACCAGAAGTGCAGATATGACGAGAGGTGCTCTGCACTATGCAATGAGTATTAGTCAAGCCAGCATATATCTATATGTATCAAGGAAATGTAAACCCTGGGATGAATTCATCTTGGAAGAATCCTTGGAGAATTTCATTTTAACCATCCTCCAACCAGTTCTAACAAGGGCCATCCATTCATGGAAAGCACTGATGCCCTGATTCAAGTGCATGCAGACATAGACCAAGCAGTATGTAATTTTTGTGCTTCTTAACATGTCCTCCACACGTCTGGTGGAGACAAGTACTTTAACAGTTACAGAAGTATGATGCTTCTAGCAACATATATTTCCTCTTATATAGCTATCTCCAGGACAGGTTTGTAAAGGTCAGAGGTTTCTCTAATGAAACTGAAGCTTCCATGGATAGAAGACGTCTTCAAGGATCAATCCTTGGTCCGGTTCTATGGAAGCTCGTGTTGGTGAGTTGCTAGGTGTGCTGTGAGAAGAGCTGTTCCCTGAAATGACCTACATTGATGACTTGGCAACTGTAGTAGCGTCTGATAGCAGAGCCAAGAGGTCCTTTTTGCCATCAACTGGTAGCTATCTTAAGATTGCCTCCAAATACTCACCAGAGTGGGAATGTCAAGATTCATTTACCTGTACCGCCGAGAAATAAATAATAACTGACTCAGGAACAAAACCAGACACTCTGGAACCCACATTCAATGTGCTTGGCCATCACGTCCTCTAAACAATACTACTAAGTTTATGTAGATGTTTGTTAAGTGATTTTTTATGAGTAATGTACTTCATTGTTAATACTTACTTATTCTGTTCTTTTAGGTGGTAATTCTTGACGAACCTTCCTCTGGTGTAGATCCTGAGTCAAGAAGAGAAATTTGGAATATACTTTTGGTAAGAATGTTTATGCACAATTGAGGTTATTAATTTAATATTTAGTAATTATACCATGAAAACATTAATTTTATATTATAATTTATACTTATGTGGATATCTTTCAAAAGGTCGGATATGATATTTTTTTTGAGTAAATTTCAAGTTCGTTTCATGTTCATTACAATAAAAGCGTAATATTACTTCTCCAAAGCCGCATCCACTCAGAGAGTACAGTGCAGAATCATTGTTATTTATTAAAACCTACTTAAAAACGTAAGATTGTGTTTCATAAAATAACCTACTTCTAACAAGTTTCACTTCAGTCTATATTTATATTTTAAAAATGGTAATTATATTAATGCTCTAATAACCATTCTAATATTACAGGATTCAAGAGAAAATAGAATTTTGCTCCTCACAACTCACTTCATGGAAGAAGCAGATGCATTGGGTGATCAGATAGCAATTATGAATCATGGGGAGATCGTATGTTATGGTTCCCCTATGTTTTTGAAGAAGCATTATGGTTAGTAAATAATTTTTTTTTTTTAATTCTATTTCTGTTAACATAGATGAAAATGAACTAGTTTCAGAGACTTGTATTAAGTTGAATATTGAAATTATGATCAAAGTATAGTTTGATCTCACTAATTAGGATCTCTATATTGGGATCAACTGTACAAAAAAACAAACAAAAATTAATCCCTATATAATTGCTTACTAGTACTGGGTTAGCTATTCCTGCATAGCTGTGGTCGTTTTTTCCAACCCTTCACAGCTACCTAGAGCTGCTGCTGCATACTAAACACAATGAGAGAGTCAACATTCCTTTCATTCTAATAAATTTTAGAACTTCAGGAACAGAAGCTGGTTATTGTTTAGGAATGCCTTTTACTTTCAAAGATCAGTTAGGTGAACCACATTTTTTCCTTTGAAAGGAAAAAAAAATATATATATAACTTATATAACAATATATATAACAAAAAAATGAACAATAACTTGAAAACTAAATTACAACTCCAACAATAGTATATAATAATCACATTATCCTTTGAAAGGAAAAAAATATATGTATATATATATATATTTTTTTTTTTACTTTCACTTACCATAGTAAGGGAAAGTATTGCAATCGTGAAAATTTTCCAATCTGAGTTTCTACAGAAATACACGTTTTAAGGTCTCCTGTGTAGTAGATGGCCTATAATATGTACTCCTTTATGTGACATTGAGTGAGGGAATGATACAAAATGCGTGGGAATGTAGGATTGCACTGTGAATTGTACTCAATTATACTATAGACAAGTTGTTTATTGAAAACTATCAAATCGATAAACAATCGACGAAAAAGGTACAGACAAAGAAAGGAAGAAGCCTGGAAAAGGGCCGCTAGATGGCAGCAGCTGGAGAAAAAAGAACTCATTTGAGACATGGAGATGATGGGATAACTATGTGATGGCAGAAGAGAAGCCCACTACACTAAAGATTAAGAAGATCGATTCATTTATTCAATTTATTACAGTTGTGGAAATTAAATTATTTTGTTATAGAGAAGTGAAAAGTCCTGATATTTAGTTGTCCTATATGCCTCACAATTGAAAAATAACAAACCAGGTGAGTTAATTCTTCATTTAAACTGTATTTACTCAGTCTCACATTTCATATATATATATATATATATATATATATATATATATATATATATATATATATATATATATATATATATTCATATTCTTATTTCTTGTCACTCAGTGTCACAAAAGCTTTAGTTTCCCGAATTCCCAAAAACAGTTAAACACCCTCAAAAATTTTATATCCAGTGCCGGGATTTTGTTTTAAGAAAATTAAATTCGCGAGTGTAAATAACCAATTCCTGCAAAATGGTCTGTGTGTATGTGAACAGTCTAGCTCAAAAACAAAAAGTCGTACGAAACTGATACGAAAAGTCGTACGAATTTATGATAGGTATATGCTTTAGATGTGACAGCAACTTTTTCCTTAAAATGAGCTAACCAGAAGCTAACTTTGAAATGAGCTATATAAATGAGCTAAATAAATGAGCTAACTTTATATCAATGGTGAAACACATTTTTACAATTTTCTCAAAAACGGCTCTAACGATTTTGATTAAACTCTGTGCATCATTGTAAAATTAAGTGACCTTTAATTTAGATCTTATCTCCATTGATGTCACTTTATAGGGCTTAAATGCCCAATGTTCATATACATCTTCCTCTAAAGTACCTTTAATATGGTTTATTTAAAAAAATTACTGATTGTAACTATAAAAAATGGCTGAATATGAAGTTTGAAAGAATATGTTAATTGGAAACTGGAGAAAAAAAGAAAAATGTTTATCCAGGTTGAAAATGAATCTCTGGAAATAAGAGTCAGAAGATATACTTATAATATATCATTAGAAAACGGAGAATTTTAGAAAAAATAATATTAAATAAATAAATTTGTAGAAGGTAACGGAGAGTGACAGCAAAAAATATAAATAATAGTTTCAGAACACTATAATTATTATTTAATGTAAATCACATGTTTCCAAAGAAATTAAATGAAATTTTCTTACTAAATGTAAACTTTTAAATTTTTTCTAAGTTAGAAAAAAAAAGTATTTAAATCCACCGGATCAAGCCAATGGTATAGTTTAAAATACTATTTCATTGTACTTGTGTGAAAGAAGAAGTTAAATATAAAAATATTTCATGGATATGTTTATAACCTTAAATACATTTACTGTAGTTTAATAACTCTAGATATGATATTATATTTAAATAATTAGCTATCTATTGGCCATTTATTCCAAAAAATTATTAAGTAACCTTTTAGAAAATTAAATTAGTAAATAATTTGATGAATTTTCCCTTTGTGAAATCTCAACAAGTATTCAAGCCTTTTAAAGTTGCAATGAGTTTTTGCTTTCATTTTATAAATTTATTAAATCTTGTCGAGATAGGGAGCAAGATGATTTTGTTGCTGGGACCTTGACTGCTGACCATCTTAAGGATTCCTTGATGATTTATGTCAGACTCGTTCAGAGGAAATCATTCTCTGAATTAATTGATTGTCTTGAAGGTGGCAAACCATATAAGGGTTCCTGAAACAGGCTCACACCATTTTTGGATTAAGACGGAGCTCTCAGGGTGGGAGGTAGACTGAAGTATTCCACAATCGAAGAGAAAACTAAGCACCTGCTGCTGATACCTAAAGACTCTCATTTAGCATTCCTTTTGTGTGGTCATTACAGGTATTCCTTGCATGGTGGCCCCCTGTTGGTCCAGTCTCTCATTCATTGCCAATTTTGGATCCCTTCTCTAACAAGACTCGCTAGAAGCCGTATTTATAAATGTGCTACATGCCACAAAAATAATGCGAAACCACAAGCTCCAGAAATGAGTGGCTTACCGTCTTTCAGGGTGACCGAAGGTCGTTCCTTTCAGCGAGTTGGAATAGACTATGGCGGCCCCTTCATTATGAAGATTTCCAGTAAGCGCAATGCTCCTAAGTTGAAATGTTGGTTAGCTCCCTTTGTGTGCATGTCCACCTAGGCCATACATCTAGAACTTGTGACTGACCTATCCACTCCTTCATTTATCGCCACATTGGATAGATTTATTGCCAGGCGCGGTTTGCCTTCTCATATTTATAGTGACTGTGGAACAAATTTCGTTGGAGCATCCAAGAAGTTGAAGAATCTTTATCAATTTGTTAAGGGCTAGAGCGAACCCATTTCTGACTATTTGGGTAGACGGGTATAAAGTGGACCTTTACTCCTCCAGCATCTCCTCATTTCGGTGGTATTTGGGAGGCAGCTATAAAATGTTTTAAGAAAAACCTTCTTGCCATTCTCCAGGATCATGCGTTAACTTATGAGGAATTTTATACTCTTCTTGTACGAGTTGAAGCCATTCTTAATTCCCGTCCTATCTGCAACATTAGCAGTCAGACATCGGATAACCTGGATTACCTTACCCCATGACACTTTCTTATAGGTCAGCCCCTCCTAACCAGACCTGAACAAGAAGACACACCTATGTTTCCTTTGACAAGTCGTTGGGAGATGATTTCCAAGACTCTTCATAATTTTTGGAAGGTATAATGAATACCTTCATAATCTGGTGCCTCACAACAAGTGGTATATTGATTAAGAGGTAAAATTTAAAGGGGAACCCTTGTAATTTTGCATGAAAAAGATGTTCCACTGCAGGAGTGGCGGCTTGCCAGGGTTGTAAAATTGAGGACTGCTACAGCCACTTTGGTGCGATCGGTGCACAAGTTAGGGGCTCTCCCTTCTGGAGAAACCTTTCATTGATATGTATATTTTTTGTTTAAATTTAATGAGGAATCATTTTATTTTAAGTTAATTGTAAATTATTAGCCTAATTTCTCTCTTTATTGTAAACCAAGAAATTTTCCTCTCGTTTGTGCCTTGTCCGGTAATCACCAATCTCTGAGTTTGGTTTTTTCTTTTTTTTGTTTGTGAAATGAGATATTTCACGGGGATATGGTTGTGCCAGAGAAGGTAGGGAAGGTTTAAATTTTCCCGCGTTACAGCGAGTGGTGGGGGCAGATCTAAAAGATAAAACTTAAGCCTTGTGAGCGACTAGTTGTATCTGTCCATTACATCGGCAGCCACTGGCCAAGCTCCATCTCCAGCACAAGAAGTCATGTAACGGAGGGCCCTCCAGGTAGAAAAGATGCAGGCTGGCATATAGACGGTAAGATATTTTTTTGCACAATCATTAACCTACCAATCTCTTGAGATACAGTCTATTGCTTAAAAATTAGAATGTTGCCTTATTGAAACTCATGAGAGTTATTTTGCCATAATTAGAAAAATTTCCTAAACACTGGGTTTTACCCACTGGAGCCAGGATCCCTTCTCCCATACTCTCTTCACCCAAGCCAAACAACAACTGCCTTCAAAAACAAAATCCTTTGTGTCCCCTCTCCTCTTTGGGATTTTCCTTTCTGAATAAAACTAAAGCACCAATTTCTTTTCCGTGAACTGGTGAAACTATTTCTTAAATTTAAAACATCCCCTGACATTAGCCTGCCTTTTAACAGTTCATTGTTAATTTACTAAACCATTTTTAACAACTTCCAATAAAGGTGTATATTACAATATATGTATTTATTGTAATATTTTCTCTTTCTCTTTCTCTATGTCTGTCTGTTATTATCGACGTTTGTCTTTTAAAATCTGAAATCTTTCCTTCTAACCTTTAATCTTTCTGTTAGTCAATTAACCCGGTCTTCGTGTATCTATTTACCTTTGTAAGGATGGGGTGTATAAGTTTAGATAGGATGAGAAGGATAAGGTATATTAGGTAAGACCGCCAAGGATGATAGAGGGACAACCCCTACACATCCAGGGCTCAGCAACCCGAGGAGGCAATCTCCAGACGTTGCAGGGATAGGTGACCTCAAGCTCCCAGGGACTACCTGAAAGATGCAAGGGGGTCTGCAGGAAAATGTGGAACAACCACGTTAATCCTACGAAAGGAGAAAGGAGGTATAGGTTAGGAAAGATTGGGTCTCAGTATAAGGAAAGGTTAGGTAAGACCGCCAAGAATGATAGGAGAACAACCCCTACACATCCAGGGCTCAGCAACCGAGGAGGCAATCTCTTGACGTTGCAAGGATAGGTAGCCTTACACTCCCAGGAACAACCTGGAAGATGCAAGGGGGATTGCAGGAAAACGAGGGACAACCACATTAATCCTACAAAAGGAGAGAGGAGGTAGGTAGGAGGAAGGCAGATAAGGTAAAAAAAAAAAAAAAAAATAACACAAAGGTCTGGTTTCAAATTGTCAGACAGAGAGGTTCCAGAAGCCTTTGTGGAGGAAGACTAGGTAGTGACTAGGAAGAGAGTGCCTATCCTTTTTTTTTTTTTTTTTTTTTTTTTTTTTTTTTTTTTTTTTTTTTTTTTTTTTTCCCTTACCCTCCATAAGGCAACTATACAACTTACTGCATATATACACACATGTATATATATACACAGAGTGCCTAAAACTAATAACCAGCCCTCAGATCTGTTTTCAGGCTAGTGAGAGGCAACACTAGTAACAATTATTTTAATTAGGCCCTGAGATCTCTAAGTTCAAACTATTTTTATTTTTATTTAATTATAGTTCATGAATACTTATTTTAAAAACATTAGTTATTTAGAAAAGGAAATAATAAATAGCTTCAAAATGAAATAAATAGTTCACTGCGCAACTAACAGGTTGCGCTACTAAAATTATTAATCATTATTAGAACAGACAATGACTTGCATTAATGAATGAAATAGTTCATTAGAACAAAGCCTAGAGGGCGCCATGCGCATTCTCCAATACACCATACCACTAGTTATTTACTACTCAACCTTTGACAGAGAAGGACCTCCCGTCCGTTAGCTGTAATACATCGTACCTTTTAATCCTTATCGCTAGTTAAATGTTATTATTGTTTTTACAATTTCAAATTAAGTCACAACTGAAATTAATAAAATACATAGCAATAAATTGAATTTATAAATATATTACATATAAATGCTTCTTTTCACACAGTTAATAATAAAAGATAATAAAGAAAATAATAAAAGAACAAAACATGAACATGAGTTCTGTTAACAATTAAAATTTATAAAGGCCCTAATAAAATATGTTACAATATATATATTTATTTATTTTATTTTTTTATTTATTTTTTTTTTTTTCGGTTGGTCTATACAGACCTTGTAGATCTTTGGTCGCCTGAACCAGCCTTCTCCACCTCGGCCTATCTTGGGCTACTGCTTTCCAGTTTGCTGCATGGAGCTCAGCCATATCTTTGTTTATCCTATCTATCCATCTGGTTTTTGGCCTCCCACGTGGTCTCTTGCCTACTACTGTGGCATTCATTGTCTTGTAGAGGCGTCCTGATGGATTACTACGAGCTACATACCCTGCCCATCTTAACCTCCTTGCCTTCATGTCATGAGATATTGACTGACCCGTTTCTTTCAACAGTTCTTTATTGTTCCTTCTCCTCCATGTGTCAAGGTTCTGGTCCCATATAGGTCCTGTTATCCTACGTAGTACTTTTCTTTCAAATCTCTCAATTCTGGCTTCTAATGTGCCGGTTAGAGCCCAGGTTTCACAACCGTACAGCAGAACTGGCTTAATCACGGCGTTGTACACCCTTATTTTGAGATTTCTGGAGATTTTTCTGGATTTCAGTACCTTTGAAAGAGTGAAGAAAGATCTGTTCGCACTTGTTGTTCGCTGGTCTATCTCTGTTAGTTGATCATTTATTGAGGTTATTGTGGAGCCGAGGTATTTAAATCTGTCTACTTTCGGAAATGACTTAGAATCCACGCAGATCATGTTTTTAGGGTGGATGTTTCGGCTAACTATCATGTATTTTGTTTTATCTACATTGACCTGTAGTCCGATTTGCTCTGCTTCTTTTAATAGAGTCTGAGCGAGTCTCTCAATATCCTCTTGATTACTTCCGAGGACAGCTATATCATCGCCATTTGCTAGGATTTTATGTTTCATTCCAACGTGCACCTCTCCATCTTCGCGTGATGTTGAACAGCATAATTATATATATATATATATATATATATTTTTTTTACTCTCCTTATAATATTTTATTTTGTTCTTATTTCTATGTATTCTTTTGTTATAACTTTATTTATTTATGTTTCTGTATATACATGTGTGAATGTACTCTCTGAACTCTATTATAAGTGTCCTTAACTGAGACAGATTGTAATATTTCTCAATAAAAAATTAAAACAATTCTTATATTCTAATAAATATAATCTTATTTTATCATGAATCATCAGATATAAATGCATTTTAAATTATTTAATTTTTCCACTTAACTAACTCCAAGTTTGACTTATTTTTCAGGGGCTGGATATAACATTTCAATATTTTGTAGCCATGACAAACACAATGAAATAACTGAAATTATTACTGCAAAAATACCTGATGCTACAATTATTGGTGAAAATCAAGAATGTATAAAATTTAAACTACCCTTTAATAAAACTGAACATTTTCCAGTGTTATTCAAGCAATTAGAAACTGATAATAAAACATCTAGAATTGCAATCAACTGCACAACAATGGAGGATGTTTATTTAAAGTAATATTTTTTATACTTATTTCATCCATAAAAACATATTTATTGAACTATGAAATTTATCTTTGGTTCATTGTGAAAAGTCAATTAGTAATATTTTTTTAAACTAAAGCATTAAGTGACTTGATGACTTTACCTCTATAAAATTAGAACGTTGTGTACTTCAAGAGTTTTTGCATCATTAAATGTGATCAAAACTCACAACTATCTACTTTTTTCTTTAAATCAATAAATACTGTATTTAATGATCTTTTGCAATAACTCTACAATATAATACAAATAAAGAATACAATTTAAAAACATATAAAAGTTAAAACAAATTCTCATCCTTATAAACTCTACATGAATGTTTTGGGGCATTTTCCCATGCAAACATTCCTATTAAATGAAATATTCAGGTTCATAATGAAAATAGAGATGTACTAGATACTCCTTGTATGGATATTTTTAGAAATCTGGGGAGTTATATGTAATAGATGAACAAGTTAGTACGGATCAAGAATGAATAATATACACTGACAGGCGAAAAATTCCACCTTGATTTTTTCATGTTTTCATCTAAAAATATTTCTGCCACTTGTAAAAAAACTTGTATTTGTATATAATACATGGCATTTGTAGATAATACTTAGTATTTATGGAATTTTATAATCTTTTTTACCTTTAATAATCAAAATGTGATTGGGTAAGAAAGATTAGAGAGAAAAAAATTGAAAAACGAACCATTATTATTACTAAAAGAAATTAATTACATCATCGTTTAGTAGCGCGTGTTTCCTCCTCTTGCCTTCACTACTTCTTGAAGACGCCTCAGCATACTTTCCACCAGTCGGGAAATGTCCTTTTGCTAGAGGATAGCCCATTCCTCCTGAAGAGCCCTTTCAAGGTGCTGCAGTGTATCAGGAAGTGTTGCACGCGCTGTTATTTGTCTTCCGAGGTTATCCCATAAATTCTCAATGGGGTTCAAATCTGGAGAACGTGCTGGCCAGGCTAAAACCTCAATTTCGTTCTGTTGAAGGAACGTCTGCACTATGCGGGCGACATGTGGGCGTGCATTAGAATAGTACAATCGCTGATTTCGTTGAGGATAGGCAACACATGAGGTTCCAAAATCTCATCTACATAGCGAATGGCCATCAAAGACGAACAACAAACAATTCTGTGCGGCGCTCCATTGAAATCTCAGCCCACACCATTAAGGAACCACATTGGAAAGGTTGGCTCTGGGAAAAATTACAGGCTGCATATCTTTCGTTTCTTCTTCTCCACACCCTTTCATGGCCGTCTAGAGATCGAAGAGCGAATCTTGACTTATCTGTAAAAAGTACAGCACTCCATTCGTCCATAGTCCAATGGCTGTGTTCTCGAGCAAAAGCCAGCCATGTTACTCTGTGAGTTGTGGTCAACTCTGGTCCTCTTACTGAACGAAAAGCCATTAATCCATACTCATTTAATCTTCTCCAAGTGGTACGTTCAGAAATTTTCACACCTCGAACTTCTTCGAGCTGATGAATCACTTGAACAATGGTAAGATGCTGGTTTCGTAAAATTCTGAAAGTCAAAAACCGGTCATCCCGTGGTTCTGTTACCCTTGGCTGTCCAGAACCGGTCCTTCTATTGTAAGAACCAGTTTCCCGAAAACGCCTGACGGCGTCTCGTAAAGTTTAATATGGAACTCCGATGGCATTAGCTACATATCTAATGGAATGCCCATCATCAATAAGTGCCACACCATGCGCAACATCCTCAGCACTAAGAGACATTTTTAAACTTAATATTGAAAAAATTAAAAGCCGGAGACTAAGAAATGTGCTGCAAGAAACGCCACTGAACTAATGATACTGAATAAACAGTTTGATTCCATAGAAAGTAAACATTGGAATCTTGAATCATTTCATTGAATTAAGGATTAAGGGTTATTTTCCTCTATATTAACATTCCTAATTGAAAACAAACAAAAAGATTACCTATTTATTCATTAAAAACAATAGACCAATCCAAAGCAGAAATATTTTTAGATGAAAACATGAAAAAATCAAGTGGGTGGAATTTTTTGCCTGTCAGTGTATATTACATGGTACAAATCAAATAGTTTTAGGTTACGATGAGATGAATCTATTAATGAAGTTTCATACGGATGTTAATAATTTGGTAAAAAGGTGTATGTACCACGGACTATACTTGATTTAACATCTTTAATGTGTATTTAATAATTGATCAATCATTAATTTATTTTTTCCTTTTTTTTTTTAAGAGTTGAAGCAGAAGAAGGTGGAGAAATACCAGCTGTATCAGGCTCACCATTACTACAAGGTAATTAAGAAACATACTATTTTTATTTTTATTAACCCAAGTTATTTTCTGAAAATGTTGCAGAAATATAAATCTACATATATATTTTTATTTCTATCTTTTCAGTTAAATGTGGAAGTGAAGAAGGTAACCTAATGGCATACTTCTACAGATTTTTGGAATTGGTGAAGAAAAATATGATCTGTAGTTTAGCAAGGTGGTTTAAAACATTTCTTGTGGTAGGTATATCAAAATTGGTAACTTATATTATCTGATTATCTCATATCATAGTTATGGTGATCTATTACTTTTCTAATGCTGAATAATTATTGTTAATGTGCTATAATCAACTGAAGGATCAGGTGGGTAAAGGTGACAAGTGACGTTATGGGAAAAGTTGAATTTTTGCTGAGGATAAAGGCATAAAGTTGTGTATTTTCAATATTTCTTCCTTTCATTGGCATAAATTCAATATTAACTGAATTGTTGAGGTGTCCATTAGCGATATACATCAGCCTCATAGTTAATAAGGTAGTGGGGTAGCTCAGTGGTAGGACAATGAACTTTCAATGCTCGAGATCCCAGGTTCGAATCCCGGCTCATGGCAGAAAAATTATTTATTCTGTTTTATCAGCTGTGGGGTGACCCTGGGGTAGGGGGAGTTGAGCGTGATTCTGGCCCGATCTTCTCCCTGCACAACCGTTGGCCTTGAAACAGTATTTTCCCTAAATAGTACTGAACCCAAGACCCTTGTACCCCATGGGTTGTAGTGGTACAGGTTTTTTTTTTTTTTTATAATTAATAAAGATGTTTTGAATTTAGTTTTCTCTTTTGACTTATTTTTATTTAACTGATAACTTATAAAGTACAAGAGGAATCGGACGTTAACAATAATACATTGATAGACGATGCAATAAATAGTCAGGACGCAGTCATTTTTGAGATTTTTATTCTTGCTGACATTTCAAACCATGCATGTGGGTCATCATGCAGGTTAAGGTTTTTATTTCTGTCAATAATGCAATAATCAGAGGGATACTTGATAGTACTTAAATAACTTCAGTGCTCGAAACATGCTCTGATGTGGTCATATACATGCTTGGGTTGAAACGTCGGCACAAATAAAAACCTTAAAAATGACTGCATCCTGACTATTTATCATCTATGATATGTAGAACAATAGACTAACTTCCTTCAATAACTGATTAAATCACTGGTTCTGGAATAACTTTCAGTGCTCGAAACACGCCCTGATGATGACCCACATGCTTGGTTTGGAATGTCAGCACAAATAAAAACCTTTAAAAAAAAATATTCGGCATGAAATAAAAGTAGAATGTCTTGATTGTGTGAGGTTGGTCTTTATGGGTTATGCTTTGAAGAATACCCCCACAAAATTTAAATCACTAAATATATATTTAAACATAAAAACTCTGACAGTGTTAGTCCACAGTTAAAAAAAAAAGGAGCATGGGCTGGTAGATGGGTAGCCATCTCTCTTAGCACCACTAACGGATCCAGGACTTAATTTTGTGGGAGAGGGGCTTCAGCCTGAAAGATTTTTTTTGTATGTATTGTTATATACACCTTAATTGAAAGTTGTTATAAATACTTTAATCAATTAATGTAACAGTTAAAAGGCAAGCTAATCTAGTTCTACTAGTTCAGGGAAAAGAAAATAGTTGCTCCGTAATTTTCCCATAAAGGAAAATTCCATAGAGGGGATGGGACAAAGGATTTTGTTTTGGCAAGCAATTGTGTGGCTGCAGTGAAGAGAGGATGGGAGAAGGGGTTCCTTGTTCCAGTGGGTAAAACCCAGTAATAGTGTTTACCATCTTGAAAGTTGTTGTTTGGCAGAGACACTACTTGTTTGGAATTACAAGAGAAAGGATCTCCCAGTGAGCTTGAGTTGAGTAAAAGAAAGTGTCACCATTTTTGAAGTTATGTTTTGGCAGAAGAATGGAAAGCATTTTAACACAAATAGATTTAGTGCAAAAAAGGAAGAAACAGTATATATAGAAAAAAGGTTAGCTTGCCAATCCATAATTGACTTTAATATAAAATCAAACGGTGTTTAGTGTAAATACTTTTAGTCTGTTTAAGTCTTTTGATCTGATTGTCAGTAACCCATACCTTGAGATAAAATAATTATAAATTTTAGTTTAATAAATTAATACTCTTATAATTTTGTTTATTATTTAGCAACCTATAGTAACACTATAGTATATAGATCTTTCACGAGATTATATTACTAGTTACAAATGTAAGAGAGATGTTACAGTATATATTATGATAATTCCTCCGGAAGAAACGAACTAAGTAACTATATGAAGTGATGTTTAAGTGATTATTTAAGTTCTATTAAATGTAATAAATGAATAATAATATTTTCAGAGATAATTTTTTTTATAAAACATGATTATATTTTACCATTTTGGGGAGGAGGGAAGAGGTTCAGCCTGAAAGCCCTCTCCCTGTAGATCCGCCTGTGCTTAGAGCTGTGATAGATGTACAGCTTGTCACTCACAGCGGAAAAGTTAATCATCATCCTATAACTTATTTTGAACCTGTCATTAGTCCTTCCAGTTGAACATTGCCTATCTAACAGTCAGTATGCCCCTACAAATGATACTTACTCAGTAAAGAAGCTCTAAGTACCTATTTTATAAATTGCATTTATTATGTATCATTACCATTAAAGTTTTATATTGATGGTCAATATCACAGATATTGTAAATGTAAATTTTATAGTTTTGAATAAAAAAAAGAGTTAAGAATTGAACGCATCCTGTAATTCCTTATTTATTAATTCTCTTTGTTCTCTTATTTTATATATTTGGCTGATTTGATGTTATTATTACACTAATTTCAAATAGAGATTAGTGACTTAATGACTGATTTGGCACTTAAATGTCTTTCAAGTCAACCATCTATGTAGTTCATATAGTTTATTTTAATTATTGTATCTGTATTGCTACAGATTCATGTTTATTGAGATACTTTTTACATTCCAGATTGTAATATTGCCTCCAGTGGCCACATACATTGCAATGGACGAAATTAATACTGATTTTAATAAATACAATAAGGTTAATAACTCAGAAGAAGGTAAATGTTTTATTTATTAACAACTCGAGCCATTTTTTTTTTTTTAATTTTTAGAATGATTGTTTTATCAATTCTCTTTTCTTAAAAAGGTGTCTTTGAAAGCAGATAATCACTATGTTAATGAATCACCTCATATGGCTCCTGTAGGTGATTTTTTATGCTTCTATGCTCCTGCGATTATAAATTATGCTTAGTGGTAAACCTAAATTGTGTTGAATCCTGATTTTGTATTCTTTTAGGCTATAACAATTATTAGACAATGAAGTGAGGTTTTTTTAGCAGCAAAGTGTATTCTTTCGCATCTCTTTTTCCTTTTTATTATTATTTACTGTTCGGACGTTCGTAAGTGGTGCCGAAACAAGGGACTTCAAATTCAGTTATTAAAGTCGTTATTTTTTTTAATTTGTTTTTATATTACCTGAAATAATAAAAGGAAAGGATTCCAGAAGGAATAGTAAACCAGGCAGTACTAACCGCACCACCGGTCACACCATTGACTCCACCACCGGAGGTTCCTCTGCTGTTGTCGGAAGTTTTAGCAGTGGAAATTTCTCCATTGCATCCAATTTCTCCACGTTAGCAGTGATGCACATGATTACTCTAGAATGGCTTCAGGTGAGAACCGCTATGTCGCAGGATCTGAAGATAGCAAAATCTCATCTCGAGAGGTTCGACGGTGGAATCGATGAGTAAGGGTGGCAATCATGTGATGTCATGTATACTAGCGAAGGAGGAGGAAAATCTGATTGATCTGATGGATGCTAATGCATTGAGAGCAGCTCTGCTGTGTAGAGTTGAGGGGAGTGTCTTAAATAAGATCCAGTCTGACGAATACACCCCATAAACTAAAGAAGGCATTTGGAGGGAGCCGATGGGACATCCTGCAGATGTTGTGAGAGGTCTTCAGAGTGGTGCGTGAAGCGAAAACTAACCATGGCCGCTGCCAAAACACAAGCCATACTTATAAGAGGCTCCACGGACAGGACTCACCCTATCAACCTGGACATCCAAGGTGCAAGAATCAGGGTAGGTGAGGAGGCGACATACCTAGGTGTACGAATCAGAAGGAATTTCGACGTCACTACTCACCTAGAGTACCTAAGGGGTAGGGTGATCCTGACGATGAATGGTCCCGCGAAGAATCGGGGGTGCCTTCTGGGGCCTCAGGTACCCGACAACCATGACGATATACAAAGGAGTCATCTTGGGTATCCTGAGGTACTCATCCCCCGCGTGGAGCCGAAACCTGATGCAAAACTACTAGCAACGACTGGCCACTATACAACGTCTGGCTTTGCTGGGCGTCACCAGAGCTTATAGAACGGTGTCCCACGAGGCGGTGCAGGTGCTGGCCGAAGCGATGCCCTTGGATCTAATTCTCAACGAGGACGCCTTGAATTTTGAGATCAAAAGGCAGGGACTGGATATGCTACCGGAGAGACTCCGAAGAAGAATCTGCTAGAACCCCAACCAATGGAAGAAGATAGTCAGGGAGGAATCCATCCAGACATCGACCCATGGTGCCCTCCCTTCGGAGTCTCTGAGACGGCGGAACACATCCTGGTATCCTTGACGCCGTGTTAAATTAATGAAGGAAACGGGGCTGTGTACCCTAAGAGAACAGGATTTTTCCCGCCTTGTTGAAGAAGAAAATTACCCGCTCTTTCAGGAATTTGTGTATGGGTGGAGAGACACAATCGGCCCTGCACATTTCTCCCTGGGAGCTGCAAGAATACCACCTGAGAAGGCCAAAGAAGAAGACTAATAAAGGACTGGACGGATGTGGTGCGGACAAGGTGCTGCCCCATCATAAAAGTGCACAAGTGTACCGGGCCGCACCACAGTTTACCCGATTGTTGTTATGTTAAATAAATTTAAATTTCCAAAAGAATTGAAAAAATGATAAATAAAGTGTTGATTATTGGCAGCAGTGGCTATACGAGAACTCAAACGTATTAACCCACTACTGCAACAATGCCAGGTAGGGCGGGGAAAAAAAAGAAAAAAAAAAGATGTTTTGAGAGAAGAAGCCACTTAATCAGAAAATCAGAAAATGTACAGTATGCAGGAAAACTTTTAGCTCGTTTCAGCTGCATAACTGAGAAGACTAGGGAGGTAGCAGAAGCTGAGCCCAGGATGGCTTTCCTGGCATTCATCCTAAAAGTACAATTGGCAAGAGACAAAGGAAAGAAAGATGGATTCCATCGAGAAAAGAATTTTGTGGAATGAGCATAGGAGTTGATAGATGCTAGTGCTTGAGATGAGGAAGCTCAGGGCAAAGAAGAGTATGAGAATGGATGGAATAAGGTGACAAAAAGGAGAACTGAGACAGGTAGGCCAGAAATGTGGAGGAAGAGAGATTGGTAGAAGAGAAAGGACGGCAATAAGAGAGAAAAGAACCAGGTAAGGAGAGGAGGAATTGGACAAAGGACGACAGAAGATGCCATGGATGTGGAAAAGTAGGACACCTGGTAGCAAATTGTCTGAAGATCAGATGTTTTGAGTGTAGAAAAGAGGGCCACATCACTAGGCAATATCCTTATATGAGCATTCTTGGATAAACAGGCAGCGTTGAACCAATATGCTTTGTGAAGTAAACGCACAAAGATTGTGGAGAAGGAGAGGAGCAGGATCTGAATCAGGAGAATCATCAGGAACGTCCGGAACGGAAGAAGATGGGACCAAACTAAGAGAGGATCAAACTCAAGGAGGAGCTCTAGGAGACAGAAACAGCAGGAATGGCAGAGAAAAAAGAGGAGAGGAAGAAATGAAGATTGGGAGAGGAGCGGCAACCACGCGGTAATAAATAATATAGGAGGTGAGTGCGTTGGTTTGACAATTATAAGGGTCGCGAATAGAGTGATATTTTTGTTAGACATGGATAGCTCAAATACAATAATGAGCCAAAGTACATTAGAGGAGTTGTGTGAAGGAGAGAGGATACCAGAAATACAGATATGTAAGTTCAAATTGATCACCTTGGGTGGTCTTGTACTGTAGAAGAGGAAGCGGAATTAGTTTTGGATAGATTGATGACGGGGACCGGGAGATTGTGGGTCCACACAGTGGAAAATATGCCAAGGGATTTCGGGGGCATAATAGGTTGCGACTTTTTAGGCAAAGTGAGAACAAAGATACACAGTAAGGACAGGAGTTGGGTCTTCCGAATTGGAGGGAAGAGCACGAACACTATAAAGATTAGTAACGGTGTCCATGCAACTAGCCAGATCAAAGTGCTGCGCGGTGTAGCCCAAGGCGGCTCCCTGTCGTCTTCACTCTTCAACCTGGTCATCGACCATCTCTACCGCGACCTGTGCGATGAGGACGTTTCCTAGAAATTTGGATACAAATTAAGGAATGAGCAAGATTGTGTGGTCCTCACAGGTTTCGTGGATGACCAGGCTGTGTCGGCACGAGACAAGGGGGCTGCAGAAAGAGTGATTGAAAGCATACAGAGGACATTTAAAGAAATTGATCTGGCTATAAATCCTCAAAAAAGCATGGGCATCATTCTAAATAAAGGAGAGCTGGAAACTACGGTGCTCTCCCTTGAGAATAGAGAGTACATCCAAACATTGAAGAATGGAGATACAATTAAGAATTTAGGACGTACATTCTCTGGAGAGCTACAATTCAACGAAGATTCAGTGACTAAATTGAATGATAATCTAAACAAGCTGGTAACCTCTTGCTTACTTAAACCTGAGCAATAACTCAACATTGTCAATCAATATCTGTTCCCGGATCTTACCCTCTCCAAATTGCGCCCCTCACAAAGCTGCGTCCTGCCATACTGGAGGGCATCGACACTATGATTCGCAGGAGCGTAAAGGCCATTATTGGACTCTCTGCAAATACTTCCGATGTTGTATGCCCCCAGGAGATACCGAGGATTGGGATTAATCCGCTGCCAATGGGAGGCTCCTCTTCAACATTGGTCCATTGCTCAGTGACTGTCCAATGTACCAGATGCCCTTTTTCAATCTACCTTCGATTATTCGGCAGAAGTTATTGAATGTGCCGAGAGATTGGGGGTTGATCAGGGTCATCGAAATGTGAAAGCTCTACGGCAGTTGCTACGAGAAAATGCATTTGAGGAATGGGCCAACTGCAGGTGGCAGGGTATTGGTGTTCGCCATTTTAAAGAGACCCCAAAAGCGAATAGATACATCTATGAAAAACAAGTACTTTCTGGGTCTGAATGGTCGAATGCCCTAAAACTAAACATTAATTATGCACTCCTGTGTGGAGTCCCAGGTGTCAGCGGACAGGTCAGAGAAGTTGGGTCCCTCTGCGGTAAATGCGGCAGAGAGTCTGAAACACCAGCCCATGTGCTGGGAAAATGCCCCAGCAACTCCCTCCTCATAACACGTCATCACCACCAGGTCAAGTTCGAGTTGATGAGGCTCCTTAGGGAAAGGAAATTCACCTGCTTTGATGAGGTATATTTCATCGATAGTGAAGGCTCTACGAGATACGCGGATATCGTCGCATTTTCCAAGACAGGAAGGACAGCGCTGATCTTGGATTCAACTGTCTTGAATTGTCTTGAACTCTTTGAGAGCATTGACCTCGATTAGGCGGGTGAAGTAGAAAGGGAAAAGAAGAACACTATAAATGTATCTCGTTCCTAAAAGAGAAATTCCGTTAGACCTTCGGAGAGAGAGAGTTCACCGTGAGAGGCCTCTGGTTTGGGTCTCGCAGAACAATTCCAAAAAGAACAAGGAGCTTCCTCGAGGAATTAGGTATCAAAATTAAGGACGTAGCGAGGTTGGCTGAAAATATAGTCCTCGACTCCCTGGCAATCATTCACCACCACGTGCATGGGTAGGCTGGGAGTTTTAATTTATGTATTTATTTATTTATCTAATGGAAAATTGAAAAAAAGATAGATAAAGAGTGAGAAGTGAGAGGAAGGGAAATTAAATGTTAAAAAAAAAGGATATACAAAAAAACAATAATAATATGCATATTGTTAATCCTATATAATTATATATTAT